GGACGAATCCAGAGATTTGTGTTCCAGCCCCAGGTTGGACTCTAGAAGTGGGATCTCAGGCAAGGCCCTTCCACACCCATGATACAAAGGGATTTATCTAAGCCAGTGGTTCCTAAACTTGGCAGAACATCAGAACCACCGGGGAGATTTTTCCAAATACACCTGCTTGGCCTCATCTCACACCTCGGAGTCAGCCTCTCTCCAGGGAAAGCATGTTTTGGAAAACATGCCCCAGGTAATTCTGAGGCAGAGCCGGGTTGGGGGGCCATTGATCCAGGAGATTTCCAAGAGATTTTCAGCCTCTGATCCGAGTCCTCACTCATCCCCCCAAGTCCAGTGGGAACCCTGCAATCCTGGAGGGAGGATCACAAAGGGCTGCTGAACTCTGTCTTCAGTCCCTGTTCTGCCTGCACTAAGCTCGGGCTGGCAGTAATAACCAGAACTCCATCTGGGTGAGCCTCCTGGTTGGGGCAAACTCCAGACCTTATCTCCCCAAAGAACTGGGGCTGGATGAGCCGGGCCCACCCCTCTCTCCCAGCCAGCAGCCCCTGTGCCTTGCCTGGGCACAGAGGCCTTGAGGGGGTGACTCCTCCCCTAATCCCTAAGCAGACGGAGATGAGGGAAGGTTAATTTCCGTCCCAGCTGCCTGACAGCTGGGGCTGACAGTGACAGAGTGGAAGGCCAGGAGACCAGGGACATGGGGGAGGGATGATGGAGCAGGAGGCCCTGCCCCAGGCCAGGAGCAGTCGGTGGCTCAGCCTAGAGCCTAGTCCCAGAAAAGGATCTCAGAAGAGATCACATTCAAAGCCCATTGCTTTCCCCTACAGATGAGCAAACTGAGACCCCTAGAGGAAACAGGATTTGTCCAGGCCTTCCGGTCCCTGGGTCAGTGCCCTGAAGAACCTCTGGCCCAAGTGTGCCTCACCATCCTTGCGGTAGTAGAGGATGTCCACCTTGCACTCCTCCGCTCCCAGGAGGGCCTGCGCCAGGCGGGACACGGCACTGCTGGGGGTGTTGGGGCCTGTGAGGAAGTCGCAGGTGCACGGTTGCTGCATCACCTCCACGCGGGAGTAGCCAAAGAGTTCACAGAAGCCGTCGTTGCAGTAAATGATGGCGCAGTTCTCCATCTGAGCGTTGGCAATCAGAAACTTACGACCTGGGGTGGGAAGTGGGAGGTGAAAAGACCAGCACAGCTGGGACTGGGCAGCAGGGAGGGAAAAATGATAGGACTCCTGGTGGCAGGGAGGGGGATTTAGATATGGCAGCAGGACAATAACCAGAATGAGGGAGGAGGAGGTCAGGTCTAGGGAGGGTGGGAAGACCAAGGAGGCCAGAGTCATCATCACTCCTGGCAGTAATGAGGAGGGTGACCAGGACGGGGTGCAGGATGGTGGCCAGAGAAGTGGGCAAGGGGGAATAGGCCTAGGGGTGGTGGAAAGGCCAGGGCAGGAAGGATCTGAGGTGGGAAGAAGGCTCAAGGCCTCCTGGATATAGGGAAGGGAGCCAGGACGGGGGAGTAGGGATGTGACCAGATCGGGGTCAGGCCTGGGGACAGCTCCTGGGAAGACCAGGGTTAGGAGGCGAAAAGGAAGGACTCAGGGAAACCTCTGGAAGAAGGGGGGTAGGAACAGACGGGGGTGGGGAGTGGGGCAGGGACTGGAAGGGGAGGTCAGGGCTTGGAGCGCAAGAAAACAGCTCTGCCCCTCCTGTTCCAGAAGAGAAGACAGTATTGAAGTAAGTGGGTCCGGCTGGAGGAGAGGTGTTCGGGACATCAGAGGAAGGATTTTGCATTCAGCATCGGGCACCCACCACCTTGCCCCATTGGAAGTTAGTAAAGGGATCTGGTCCCTCCTTTCACCGAAGCAGGACTACAGATCGTCCCCCCACCCAACACACACACTCACTCTGGCCCTCGAATTTGCGAATGATGGTGTCCAGGTAAGTGTTTTGGGGAGCGACGTGGCCCCTGCGAACCGGCATCTTTCGCCGTAGCCCCTGCCCGGAGCCACAGGCGCCCCGGGCTCCCTGCGTCTCCGCCTGTCCTCGAGCTCAGCGGCGTCGGGCTCCGGGTGGGCACCGCCCCCGGGGAGGGCCGCCGGGCTCCGCGCCCCGCCCGCCCGCCTGCGTCTTCTCTCCCGGACCGCAGCTCGCCGCGCCTCCGCCCCTCGCCGCCCGCCCGGAGCTGTCCGCGCCGTGGTGCTGAAAGGAGCCGCGCGCCGGCGGCGGGGCGGGGTCGCCGGGCGGGGCAACTTCTCCGGGACGTGCAGGGCCAGGGCGGGGCCCTGAATCCCAGGGGGCGGGGCGGGGGTACCGGGCCTGGAATAGGGGAGGGCTTCTCTGAGGAGCTTTTGCTTATGTCCCAGTGACCAGTGGCCTCAGCACTTCTCGGACGCCCTCCCGGTACCGAAGGGAAGTCTCCCAGGCTGGGGAGGGGGCGGCAGAAGGGGTTGTTAGGGGTCTCAGGTGGTCTTTTGCTGAAGGCTCTCTCCTGGGTCTGACCGCTGCGCCTGGCAATGGTACCGTTAGGCCTCTTGCCTGCCTTTAACAATTGCCTTCCAGCTGAGACCCAGTGCCCATGCAGAGCTCCTGGTGGCAAGCCCAGCCAGGGCCTGGTCCTGGGAGGATGGGTAGCAGTACACACGAAGCACAAGAAATATGCAATAAGGTGCCTTGTTCAGAGCTCTTAGCATGCAGGCACAGCTTGGAAGGAGAACAGATTTAAAACCACCTATTAGCAAGTGACCACTGATAAAAGTGTCTGAGTACTGATTGAAAATGAACACACTAGAAGAAGTAGATGGAGGTGGGGTGAGGTTTATTGAAAGAGGCTTCTTGGAGAGGAGGAGGAGAAGGGGACCACCATTCGCTGAACATCTCGGTGGGCTTGGAGTTTTTGCTCAGTGACCAATTTTGCACCAGGCCTTGGAGGGCAAGCGTTCAAATGGGGCATTCATGCACTTAGGCAAAGGCTGAGGGTGATGTCAGTGCAGAGGGACTGAGCTGGGGGATGGGAGAGCTGAGTTTGGAGAAAAGGGGTAATTGATAAAGACCCTCAGATGTTATTTTGAACATCTAGATTTAATTGATGAACAACCAAGTTCTTAAGCAGTTAGACATGAAGGAAATATTCTGGTGAAATAAACTTTACAATAGTGGGTGAGGGAGGGAGGATGGATGAGGAGGCTCAGTGAGGTTTTTGCTGGAGTCCTGGTGAGAGGCTTGGAGTCCTGGGCTTGGTGTGCCTTTGCCACACAGAGCCACAATGCTGGAGGGGTCCTCGTTAGCCACTGTGGCTGGGGAATGGGAGGGCTGCGAGTGTGGCCTCCTGGGGGGCAGAGGTGTCCTGGCTGCCCCTGTATGTGAGGAGGCAGGCTGGCTGTGGAGGAAAGGCAGAGCCGTTTCTCAGGGGCTCAGTGCGTTGGGTGCTGAGCTCTGAGAAGGGACTTGGGCAGCGAGACATTCATCCACTCACTTACTCATTCAAGCATTTTCCAAGTCCCCATTGTGTGCTGTGGCCCGTGCTGACTACAGGTGTTACGCAGGAGCACACTCCTGATGTGTGTCTAGCTCTTATAGAGCTGACAGCTAGTTTATGGGGGCAAATAAGGACCTTGCAGCAGTAAAAGCATGACAGAGACATCAAAAGAGGGTGCTGCAGGGGCCTGGGGCTGCAGCAGAAAGTTCTCAGGAAGACCATGAGAAACCTGGGCAGAGGTAGGGTGCATGGAGATCTCAGTCTGGTACCTCTGTCACCTGAACTGCTGAGTCTGGGCTCAGATTCTGAATCTGGAGAGAGCTGGTCCCCTCTTTTGGCTACTCTCCCACCAGCTGCACTGTAGCCTCAGTGCCTCTTCTCTGTGCTTACTGGCTGCAATACCATTTCCTCTCAAGTCTTCCCTATCCTCTGACAGCCAGTGACTTCCAGGCTCTCCAGAAGCCCCTGGGACCTCAATCCAGACTCTGTGAGTCACCAAATATTGGGTATGGCATCCTGTGGTAGGCAGACCCAGGCTGGTGAGAAAGGGCTAGGAGGGGTTGGGGCAGAGGTCTTCCCCTTCTTTTCCCAGGCTTATTCCTAGAGCACTAATTTCCCAAATATCCTCCTGCAGTGCTCGCCTTTCTGTCCTCCCCCTCCCCCACTGAGCCTGAAAAGGTGCTGTTTGCCCTATGCTCGCTCCCCAGGGCAACGGGCCAGGCAGCAGGTGTGTGTGTTGAACAAGGCCATCTCCGGAGCAGAGTGGCTGGAGATGAGCTTTGTTTAAATATTAAAGAAGTCAATCATTAATCAAGCCTGGCTCAGTGCCCAGTTACCCACTGTCTCCATTTGGGAGGGCCTGGGCTGGGGCAGGGAGAGCCATGGGGCAGTTTGTGGGGTTACTTGCATCTCAGTTGGCCAGCAAAGAGCTTTTTGGGGCTGAATTATGCAGCCTGCCACAGGGCAAGCCAGAGGATCAACAGAGAGATGTGGCTAGCTGGTACACGGCATGGTGCTCATACACTGAGCACGGCTGATTCATAAAGAAATGTCTAGATCTATTTGGGTACATTTTATAAGGGGACTGAAACAGGGCCTTTTTTTAACCATAGTGGAGATTCCTTGGGTACTGCAACCCCAGTCAAACCCCAAAGCTGAGCTCTTGAAGAAAACAAAGCTATGTGAAGAACCAGTTCTGGGCATGACTTTGGGGTAGGGGCTGGGTTGGAGGGACACAGACACCGGGTCACTACAACCGTAGTTCCTGAACCTCTAGGGGAAGGAGGTCGGCTTGGAACCCAGGGCACACATGGAATCACACAGAGTCAGTCGCCCATACACATGGCCTCATGTACATAAGTTTGCAAACGCACAGTTACAATGTCACATGTACCCAGATCTGCCACAGCTGCACTTAATCACAGCTGGGCACTGTGCAGGCAGGCTGTCCCCCGCTCTGTCCCCCAACCCTCTCTAACTTGGCTGCCCCCTTTCTGCCCTCCAGCCTCACCAGTCTCAGTGTTGTTTAGTACCAGCTCCACCATTCAGTGCTCATCCTTGGAGGCTTCCCGCCATGATGTGTGAAAATCCAAATGGTCAGGCTGATTGAGCACAGCGTCAGGAAGACACAGAGGCCCAGCAGTAGCCACTGTCTTTTGGCAACCTTCTGGGGCTCCATGGTCATGCCCAGGAAGTAGGAAGTGAACAGTGAGCTGAATAGCATCTCATCTTGGGCCAGTGACTGTTTTTCCACTAAATACAGCCTGTAGGCCAGTCCCAGGGCCACCACGAACAGGACAAGGCTCAGGATCAGCAGCAGCCACTGACCAAACTTGGCCTGGTCAGGGTCCAGCCGCAGATTCAGGAATGTCGCTTTGTCTGCGTCTTTTTTTGTGGAAGACATGGGAGCCTCATAGAGCAGGTGAAAGTAGAGAGGGAGCCCTGGGGTCCCCTGTGGCTGTCAGTGAGGATCTGACTGCCACTGGCCTTCTCCCTTAGCCTCAGGCATCTACCTGCCAAGCTGAAGGTGAGGGCATGGCCCTGGAAGGAGGGTGAGAAAGAGGAGTAGGAGGAAGAGAGGACATGGGCACAGATAGGGCTATGTACACCGCCAGGCAAGGGTCAGGAGGCATGATGCTGACCCTCTGCTCAGATGCCAGCCTGGCAGCCTCGCTGGTTAGTGTGCAAGGAAGCAGCTGAGCCAGGGGCGGGGGCACGGGCGGTGGTCTTGGTTGAAGCTACACCAGGCCTAGTTCAGGCAGGGGCACACAGCAGCAGTGCTGTGCTGGTTCAAGCCGGGTCTTCGATGAGCTGGGGTTAAGGCTGGGTTGGGGTAGGGACTGGCCCAGGGCAGGGTAGGGTGGGGTTGGGGCTGGCCTAGACCTGGGACCAGGGCGGGATTATCAAACCTTCAAAGGAACAGCTGAAGTCTGGCCAGCCCAGGATCTCCCCCTGCTGCACGTTCTCAATCACCAGCCAGTTCAGCAGGGGTCTGAAGTAGGCCATGAGGGCCTTTGTAGACACGCTGGACTCCCCGGTCAGCTTCTGTAGGACCTCTGGCCAGGGCTTGCTCGAGCCCAGCTTTAGGGCATCCCTGGGGATGTGGGTGCATCTGTGAGGCTGTGTGGGGGCATCAGCCAGTGCTACTGGGACCCTCAGCATGTCCATCCCCAGCCCCAGGGCTTGGCTGGTCAGAATCTTCCCACAGAGCTCAGTATGGTGGATACAACCACAAGCTTTGAAATAAGACTAATCTGGGTTCAAATCTCAGCGCTGTCACTTAGTAGTTGTGGGACCTTGGGCAAGTAACTTAACCTTTCTGAGTCTCAGTTTCCATAGTAGAACAGAGATAATAACGGTACCTACCTCATAGGGTCATTGCGATGATGAAATTAGCATAGTACTCGGAGCGTTGTACGCAGGCAGTAAGTGTTAACTACTGCGGCTGTTATTATTATTCCTAGTACTGGTACTACTGTGATTATTATTATTATTTTTTTTTTTTTGAGACAGGGTCTCGCTCTGTTGCCCTGGCTAGTGTGTGGTGGCGTCATGATAGCTCACTTCAACATCAAACTCACAGGCTCAAGAGATCCTCCTGCCATGGCCTCCCAAAGTGCTGGAACTATAGGCATGAGCCACTACACCTGGCCTACTATGATTATTATTATTGCTAGTACTGGTACTATTGCAATTGCTATTGTTCTCCTGGACTCAGTAGGCATAAAGTCTTGAGACACTGTTTCCTGTGAGGTGCCCTAGTCAGTAGGTAGAGGCAGCCCTTCGGCCCTTTCTGGTCTCACAGGGAGGGTATGAGAGGATTAGAGAGACCGTGAGCGTGGGAGCTGTCCTGCGCACCACCTGCACCTGCAGTGCCACACAAATGTCGCCTCTGTCTCAAGGCACACACGGCACTTGGGGGCACGTAGTCGAGTCTCAGGTTTGGACCCTTGCACTCACGGTGGGAGTACCGGGTGTACTGAAGCCAGGGCTCCAGGCCTCCCCACCCACCCCAGGGCCCCCTGCGGAGGCAGCAGTGGCCAGATGTTGATCCTTCTCAATCTATTGTTCCCTGGTCTGACCAGGAGAAAGGCTGGGCTTAGAGGCCCAGAGGTCACGGTGTGGGATCTAGACCAACAGGGCCCAGGTTTAAGACCTACTCAGCAGTGCCGCTTATGGACTGCATAGTCTCAGGCAAACAACTTAACCTCTCTCAGCCTCAGTTTCCTCATCAGTAAAATGGGTGCCATGATACCTGCCCTTCATTGTGGTGAGGACCAAGTCACATAATGATGAAGGAGGGCTTTGTAGCTTGCAAAGACTTATACATATCAGTTAATAAGCAACTGGGAAAGAATGAGGTAGGGAAGCTAAAGGTCAGGGGATCCTTGGCAGAAACGACTGGGGAAGAAAAACCACAACTAACTCTAGGTAAGAGGATTTTATCAGACACTGGCTCCTGGGTAAAAAGAAGAACCTAGTAGGGGAAAAGCCTCAACCACTGAAAATCTGCTGGTTTAGAAATAGTCCTTCAGGCAGGGCAGGGCAAGATATTTGACCAAAGCCCAGCCAACAGCCCACGTGGGCAGCACGTGAGACCGGAGAGCTGCAAAGGTGGCAACCGGGTGCTGATGAAGCCCTCAAGCCCAGAGTGACAACAACATGCCCAGGGACAAGGTCAGGCCCACCACGGCTGGCTGAGTGAGGCTGGGGAACTTTGGAAACTCAGACCAGGTCCAGTTCATCCTCTTCCATTCCCAGAAGAACCAGCCCAGAGCCTGGCCCACAACCATCGCATTTGGGAGGATGAGTCAAAAGTAGCAAAATCAACTTTTAAGATATATCAGGCAGAAGAGCAGCCAAGAATCCTCTCCTTTTCTTTTTCCCCTGCAAGCACTCGCCTCCCCTCTCTCCTGCACAGATCACATTCCACTCTGCTGCCATTTCATCCTTCCCAAAACTCATGATACGCCCCTTTCTCAGAAACCTCTCCTCTGTCCGCTGCCCCGAAAATGGCGTTCAAGGTCCTAAGCCTGGAATTCAGGGTCTTCCCTGACCAGGGGTCTGGACAGCGATGCGTGACGAGAGATGACTGACTGACCACATGCTTTGGTGCCAAATCAGACCCTGGGAGTCTTGCACACCCTGGGCGGGGTGGGGGCGGGAAGTGATGAGAATGACTGAAGTCAAATGCCCCACCAGTCAGATGGGAGAAAGTGGGAGTTACAAGTGAGTTGATATAATGAAAACAAACATCTGCTATTTCTTGCATGCCTGCCTTTGGAGACACGGACCCCTCCTTGTCCCCTGGCACGACATCCTAACCCTCTCTGCATTCACCAAAGCCCTTTTCTACTACTCTGGCTCTTTTCTTGTATTATGGAACTATTTATCCCGTGGTCCCTTTGCCCCTGCTGGACATAGAGCACCTGGTCCCCATGGGCACAAGCAAATGTTTGCTGAATGAATAAATGACGGGCAGCCAGAGAGCAGAGAGGTGCCCTTATATTCAGCACATTCAGAAAAGCTCAAACCTAGGCAGTCAACTAGAATAAAGCCCTGTGATGGGAAAGGAGGGAAGAGCAAATATACTCGGGAGACGATAGTCAGGCAAGATGCAGCCCGCCCCACCAGCAAAGCGTAGGGGATCAGTCCTGCAATCCCATCTGGCCTGATGGTCACAGACAAGCTGCATGGTGCAATCACAAATATGCTCATGAAATTTGCAAAGGATACTAAATGATGTGGCAGTGTTAATCCTCTGGGGGACAGGAATAAAACTCAAAATGACCTTGACCAATTAGGGAAATGGACCTATTGAAATTAGTTGAAATTCAACAGGGGAAAGACCAAGTTAGTAGGTGGGCTCCACATCTCCGTGGGTGGAGCACTGATCTTGGAACCAGTAGACCTGGATCTAATCTCACCAGGGTCTCTATTCTTTGATGGAGGCAGCAGAGTGAAAGATAACGTGTTCTGGTGTCAGTTCTGGGTTCAAAGCATGACTGTGCTTCTTGATAGATAAGTGATACACAATCATATCAACTCCCTTAGCTTCAGTTTCCTCATTTGTAAAAGGTGAATGATAATATCCATTTGGCAAAGTTAAGCAGTACTAACATGAAACACGGTGAGAGTGCTCATCAGAGAGCCCAGCCTGTAGTATTAATAGCAAATGCTTTATATTTTCAGCTCGGGTCCCCCATCCCCTCCAGATTTGCTTCAGGACCAAAAATCCTCGCCACAGAGGTAGACATGGAAAGGATAGGCTGAATACCACATGCAGGAAAAAACGATTGCAGGGTCAAAGTGGACCACAGTCAGACCAGAAGCATGCCACGAGGCTGGTATGAAAGCAGCCTGGATCAGCCTGGGAACCGGGTCACGGTGCCTCCAAGAAGCGGTGGGGGAAGCAGAGTGCACCCAAGGGTGCATCAAACACAGCTGAGAGGATAGGTAAGCACTTCACAAGGAAAGAATGAGGGGGTTCAGATGGAAGATGGAAGGCTGAGGCAGAACTCCAGTGCTGGCTTCCCCTCTGGGACAGTTTGATTTACTGGGATATGTGAGTATGTGCGTGTACACATGTGTGTGTTAGCAGAAGGGGCTAAACAGTGTCTCTGACTACAGGGGACTCAGAAGAGTAAATGGGCTTTGATTAATGTAGGAGAGACTGCAGTCCGATATGAGGAAGAACTTCCATTGGAATATAAGTGCAGTGAAGACTTGCTCAGGGTACCCAGGGTGGCCAGGTGAGGAGAGGAAGCCTGGAGCAGGTCTTCCCAAAAGGGAGATGGCGGGGGCGGGGTGGGGCTGAGGACAAATGAGGAGGGCACTCACCCCAGGAGTTTCCCAGCTATCTTGGAGTTACAGATGTCACACCGGTGCAGCGGGCCCCTGTGACCTGCGGCCTTGCACAGCGCTTCATGGAACTGGAACTGGAGCACTAGGCTGAGGAAGTACCTGGGTAGAGAAGCGGGAGGGACAGGCTGGAGGGCAGAGACCAGGAGCAGGAAGCCCAGAGCCACGTAGGACCAGGCAGCTCTGACATGCAGTGGCCACGAGGGCCCATGTCAGTATCACAGCCTGGGTGTAGGAGGCTCCCTGGGCAAGGCCCCCCGGCCTTGAGCTGGTCTAGAACACAGGGTCTAGAACAGTCCTACCAGCTCTTGCCCCCTGCACAGGATCTAATGTAAAAGCTCAAAGGATTCCATGGCATGGTCCTCAGAAGGCTGTGCAGGCGACAGGAGGAGGTGGGCAGGCATGCAGGTCACGTGTGAACCCAGGGCCTTCCTGGGAATTCTCGGCCCAGCTCCCGTATCTCCCAACTCCCAGCGCCCAGAACTGGCTCTGCCGACAGGGCCCAGACCTTTACCGTATGTAGGCCACACTGGCAGAAATGTGGAACTTGGCACCTGGATCAAAGTCCTCCTCTGAGCGAGGAATGGGGGGGCAGATGCCCTGGTACCTCAACCTGGCAGGGGAAAGACGGGGCTTGACAGTGCGCCTGGTGGGCTCTCAGAGCCTTTTCCTTTTTGGAGCACTTGCGTGTCCATCAAAGCCGGACCTGGCATGCGGAGGACACTTAAAGCATTTTTATTGATTCCACAAATGAAAACACATGGGGCTGGGAATCAGATAAAATGATAGCAGTTAACACCGACTGAGCACATCCTCAGTGCTAGGAACCTCGCTGAGCCCCTCACACACGCAGCACCACCCTGGCCTCTGGGGAGGGATCAGAGGGAACAGGAAAGGTCTTTGCTTGCATCTTAATGGTGGGGGACAGACTGTAGACCAATAAATCAAGTAAGAAGTGCTTGCCAAGTGCGGTGGCTCACGCCTGTAATCCTAGCACTCTGGGAGGCCGAGGCGGGAGGCTCACTTAAGCTCAGGAGTTCAGGATCAGCCTGAGCAAGAGCAAGAACCCATCTCTACTAAAAAAAGGAAAAAAACTAGCCAGGCATGGTGGAACGTGCCTGTAGTCCCAGCTACTTGGGAGGCTGAGGCAGGAGGATCACTGAGCCCAGGAGTTTGAGGTTGCTGTGAGCTAGGATGACACCACTGCTCTCTGGCCGGGATGGCAGAGAAAGAGACTCTGTCTCCAAAAACAAAACAAAACAAAACACAACCAAAAAAAAGCTAAAAAGAAAACGCAGTGACATCCCTGTGGGGTAGAACTACTATTAATCCCATTTTGCAGATGAGGAAACCAAGGTTTGGGGATCAGGGCACTGGCTGTGGAACACAGCTAGTCGCTGGCAGACCCTGATAACTGAAGGTCTGGTTTTGTGCCTCTGAACAGTGCAGTCGGGAAGTTGCTGATCATTGCTGAGCCTTGTTGTCAAGTGTTTTCTGTAAAATCTTGGGGGTAAGACAAAGTCTGTGAAAAGGTTCGTGGTTTTATCGTTGGCTCACTGGAGCCTCCAAACCATCCTCTGGGCTCTACAGTGTCAGGAGCTTCCTCTTGTGGTTGAGGGACCAAGGGCCTCTCTGTTCAAGGCCCAGGGAGTCGCCGTCCCTCTCACTCAGCCCCGGGCGCTGTCAGCTGGCGGGTGGCCATGGCTGACAGAGGTCCCTGCAAGTACCTCAGACGGCCAGTGAGGAAAGGGGGGCCCTTGGAGGAGCACGAGGTCAAGACTGTGCCGACCCCACCAATGAGACCCGTCCTGAAGTCAGGGGGTGAGAGGCGAGAGGACAAAGGGAAGAGTGCTCAGCTCTGCCACCCGCTGGGCTGCTGTGTGACCTTGGGCTGGTTTTGGGACCTCTCTGAGCTTTGGCTTCTTCTTCTGTGAGAGGAACATCTTGAATGACCGTGACACAAGGTGGTCGTAAAAGGTCAAATAAACATAAGGGCCTGGTGCGAGCCAGCAGGCCACGCGTGGTGGCCCCAAACCACACTGTGACCAGCAGACTTGAGCTGGTCAGTCTGGTGCCTGGTGGATGCGGAGAAGCCCTGGTCACAGGCATTTATTATCTAATCAGTGGCCAGGGGTCGGATGGGAGGTGCGTGCAGGAGGGCCTCAGGGTTCTGTGTGTAGAGAAACCCGGTTACAACCATCATGGGAGCTCCCCAGACACCCAGGGAGCAGGCGGGGCCACTGCCAGAGTCTGCTTTTCACAGACGAGGAGACTGCAGCCTAGAGAGGTGCAGAGACCTGCTCAGGGCTGGTGCCGGACTCATGCGGCCTCACGGTTGCCTGTGCCGGCTCCATCCTCTGCACTACGGGTGCTTCTGTCTGGTGGTGGCAAACAGCCCACACTGCCCTGGGGCTTCCCCAGGCCCCCAGGCCACCAGCACTGGCCGCCCCACTCTGCTCTCAGGGTGTGTGATGGGAACCAGAGCCCAGAGCAGCTGGCCAGCCCACCTGAGGTTTCACCACTCCTGGTTGTAGATGTTCTTCCTGATGGTGCCGTCAAAGACCTTCCAGCGAAACAGATCCATGAGGTAGCTGAAGGGGATGAAGGCAATCTTCCCCAGGGCGATGCTCATCAGGAAGTTGATCTCCTCCTCTGGGGAGAGTGGGGCAGTCAGGAGGCAGCTCCTGGGCTCTCTCCCTGTAGCCTTGCCCAAGGGCTGCGCCCTGCCGAGCCCCCGCCCCCAGCTGCGCCCCCTCAGCTCGGGCTGTCCTCCCACTGGGCTCTTGGTCCCCGTCACCTGCGTCCTGGTGCTGGAAGCTGAGCAGGCCTCTGTTGAGCAGGTGCTTGTGGGAGGAGACCGAGAGGGTGATCACCGACCCCACGGCCTCTTCAAAGGCTGGGTTGGCTCCTGAGCGGAAGATTACAGAGAGGTTCTTATACTGCAGGAAGTACTGGATGTGGCCCATCTGGTGGAAGATGGAGAGCAGGTCTTCTATGGTCACCTCGGTGCACTTCTTTATCCTGGGGGCAAAGGGCAGGAGTCTAGAGGCCTGGGGGTGCCCCGGGAAGGGTGGGAGGCTTCCCCATTCAGACTCCATGAAGGGATTGGGGCGATCGGGCTGGAGACCAAACGGACCCCATATCCAGCCTGGGACCAAGCCTTTTGCCCTCACACCTGCCTCTCCTTCTGTGTTCCGGACCCACTTCTCCTCCCCTGTCCTGCTGCCCCTGCCCACTCCTTGCCCACACCTCCTAAGACGGGCAGACAGGGGAGAGCAGGAGAGGGCCGGGAGTGTGGTGCCGTCTGAGCACCTGAAGTCATCGTCTTTGTAGAAGTTCCAGGCAGAGGCTTGGCACTACACTTCCCGCCCGTCTGGTGGCCTCTCCAGCATCGACTTTCTCCAGAAACCGGGTGGGGCGGGCAGCAGCCCCAAGGAAGTAAAGAAGTTTTCAGCCTCTTGAAACATTTTCTCTGGCCTCCAGTGCTGTTGGGGAGGGGCTGCATGGGGTGCTGCCCTGCTTGCCCAGACGGGCCAAGGGGCAGGACAGACAAAGGCCAAGCACTGACCTGGCCTTTCATGATCTCCGTGATGTCCTCGGGGGTCTTCTTCAGGAAGGGCAGGACCAGGTCTAAGATGTTGACCCAGGACTGGGCCCACATGTTCCCTGGAAGGGGAGGTGGGGAGCTAAGAGGAGACGAGAGACAGTCTCTCCCCTCACTGGGCGCCCACCTTTGCCACTGCAGGGCCCTCACCCAGGAGGTGGGCAGGGATGGGCCCCCTCAGGTTGATGACATTGGGCCCATAGCGGCGGTGCAGGGCCCGGCGCATGTAGGCGTGCAGGTTCAGGTAGAACGGCTGCAGCTCCTCGTAGAGCTGCTCCAGGTCTTGCTCCAGGGTGTCAGACTCGTACTGGGAGCGCCACGAGGCCCCCATGTCTTTGTAACCTAGGGCAGGAGAGAAGACTCCCTAGGTGCTCACCTCCTCACCCTTTAGCCCTGGCCTGGCAGGCAGGAGACCCAGGCCCCTTCCGGGGAAGCCACTCAGCCTCCCTGACCCTGGGTCTACATCTGTAAAACAGGGAGAATACCTCCCAAGGCCACCGCCTGTGTTGAATCAGACCAGAATGGAAAAGCGCCAAGCGAAGTCCATAACCCGAGCTGCTCACCAGGCCTGGAGGCCCTAGTGCTCTCTCACCCCGCCTGAGCCCTGCCTCACCCATGGCCCTGCCTCACAGCTGCTTTCAGACCTGGCACCCTTGCCCACGGAGCTTTTGCCTAGGGTGCTTTTTTATCTCTCCCCTGCCTGACTCTTGTCCCCTGTCAGGCCTTGGACACATGGCAGAGGGGCCATCTATGACCTCTTTCTGTTGCAGCGGCAGCTTCCTACTTGGCATCACCCAGCGATAGTCAGAGACGCGAGTTTACATGAGTGTGGTCTGTCTCCCCACGGGACTGCAGGCCAAGAAGGTGGGCTCCCGTCTGTCCTTTCCCCTATGTGTCTTCGGAGCACCCCAGCACCCAGCACACAGTAGGTGCTCTATAAGTGTCTGGGGAGCCCAGCTGCAGGGCTCACGGTTGCTGTCCCTGGGGCCCTACGACTGCCCTTGCCTCGGCAGACTCAGCTTCGTCCCTTCCTTGGCACCGCCCCAAGACCTGCGTGGGTTCCATCCGCTCACCGTCGAGCTGCGCGGCCTTGTTGCTGAGCTCCACGTATTGCTCAAAGACGGTGCGGATCTCACGGCACACGGCGTCCCGCCAGCCCTCCCAGGCCCACAGCAGCTCCTTCTGGTCCCTGGAGGTGGCCATGACTTCTTCGAGGTCTGTTCCCAGAAAAGGAGCCGTGTAGGACCCACTGCCACCTGCCTCTGCCCTCATCCGCCCTGGATGCCCCCAGCAAGAGAGTGCTGTTGGAAGTTGGTGGGCCCGTGGGAGGGCCTGGTGCTGGACACTTTGCAGCTGGGGGGGCAGGGCTTGGGTGCTCACCAGGCTCCAGAGGCAGGCAGGGCCCCTCATTCAGGCACACCTGGGCCATACTGTACGTGGTCTCCATGTAGGCCAGAAGCTTGTTGTACTGGAGGGGCAGGTGTCACCCAGGGCAGGCCCATACCCTTGACCCATCCCCAGCGCTAGCCCCACCAGCCAGGAGAGGTGAGCTTGGCTGAAGGAACCCCCCACCTCCTCCCCCAGAGGAAGTTCTGGTCCTGCCCCGTCCTCCAGCCTCCCTCCTGCCCCAGACACTCTGGCTCCACGACCAGGCCCAACCCACCCACCCCTGGGGCAGGGGAGCAAGTGCCTGGAGGCCAGGGGGGGCTCCGTCCATCACCTCCTGGAGCTCGTCCTCGGGCAAGGCCGCCTTGCCTATGTCCTGCAGCTTACTCAGCATGCGCTTCACGGCCGGGTCCTGGAACTGGGCAATCTTAAACAGGCGGGCCCGGGTGCCAAAGTACACCATGAACTTGGATCTCTCCATGTCCTTGCGCAGCTGGAAAGAGGGTCACCATATTTGTAGGTGGGGGAGGCTGGGGGAAGGGTAAGTTTTCCACATTGAACTCCAGGGCTGTGGTGCTTCAACACACTCCCTAAGCCCACATCAAGGGTCCAGGATCATTGAAGATTTGCTAAGAAGGAGAGGGAGGAAGCCTGGTCCTTAAAAGCAAGGAGGTGAAATTCACAAGGGAAAAGAAGCAAGAGATTCTTGCTCAGAGAAAGTTTAGGGCCAGCAAGAGACCTGGAGCCTGCAGCCTGCCTTGACGTGTACTTTGGGGCTCCCCTCTTCCCGGAGCTCTGAATGTGAGCAGGAGGTGTGGTCCCCCATACTCCTAAGACCCCTGAGAAAGAGCAAGGAGGAAGGGGCTGGGGTGGAGGTGGTACCACACCATCTCCTCCTGATTTTTCTTGGTGATATTGGTGACATAGTTCCAAGTAGCCTCCATGAACTGGTTCAACACAACCTGGGCTGTTTGGTCATAAAGCTGCAGGAATATCTTTGCTTCGGTCTCATTGTAGAAGTCACCTGCGGGGAAGGAGATGGACACCGAGTTGTCCTGGGAGGGGCCTGCCCTGCCCAGCCCCTCGTCTGGTCCCATGCTCCTTCAGGTCCCAGCCAACCTATGCTGTGATCACTGTTGACCCTGAGCCATGGCAAGAGCTGCCCGTAACAGAGGAGCACAAGCAGGGAAGGTCCAGTGTCCATCTTGTTCCCATGACCGAGAGAACAGCAGAGCAGGGCAAGGCTATTAGCCAATCACAAGCCAGCTCTGTATTGTGACATCAGGGACCAAATGGTCAGCTGTGGAATGTTAGGCCTGGAGAGCCTCCACCTACCTTCTGGTCCAGCTGTCCCCGTTTTACAGGTGAGGAGACTGAGGTCCAGAATGGTCAAGCCACATGACCTGGCTTGCACAGCTAGCTCGCAGCAGAGCCACGAGGAGGACCCAGGGCTCTTGAGTTCTAGGCCAGAACTCGTTCTACTCTACTTGGTCACGTCTCCCCGGGGTTGGAGCTGCCCTTGGGCCTTGGCCAGGTATTGATGAGACCCCTCCCTCCATAGGCTGGGACCACTTCTGAGAAAGTGAGTGTGATGATGGATGGATGGACGGATGAGCACAGAGATGGACATGGTATCTCTGAGCCTCCAGACTCTGGGAGCCCAGTTGTCTCTCCAGGTTCTTCTGACTTGACCTCTTACGTTCACATTTGTGGCCTTTCTTTCTCTCGATCATCCCCAGGGCTGTGCAGGGCCCACGCCCCACAACCCCTCTCACACCACTTGTTTCTCCAGGGAGAGCCTGGCGCAAGGAATTTGCAGTCAGGAGGACACACGAGGCAGGCCGGGTGGGCTGTGCAGCAGTGTGGCCGGCACTTTCCGTCCAGGGTGCACATCCGTGAGTGCCTGAGCCTGGTGGGAGGACAGGCTGGCAGGGCTCCAGCTGTCTGCCAGCGGTGGTGGCTGACACTGTGTCTGGGGAGACCACATCTGTCCCACCCTGGGCTTCCTCCTCAGACTCACTTCCCTCCACACCCAGACTCCTTCCGCCCTGTGTCCCCTTTGGTCACCCTCAGCCCAGGCCCACTCATGTCTTCTCACAGGCCCTGCCCCTGTACATGGGCTCACACCACAACTAGAGAAACTAAATAACCCTCAACATATGATCTATTATGGCCAAAATATATTTGAAATATGAAGAAAGAAAGAAAAACTTGGTGACACTTCTGGTTAAGCTGATCAACTGAGCTCACTGGGAAGTCCCTATATGCTTCCCTATATGCTTCAAGCATATAGATGTGCTTGATAAAACATAGTATTTAAAAAATTTCAAAATGCAGAGCTGAGCTGCAAAGCAAGAAAAGAGACTCTTCAGATGCTGGGGCAGCAGTGAGTGGAGGCTGAAGCCCTGTGGCCCCATGGGAGGTCAGAGTGCATCCATGCAAAGAGCTGCAGCCTTGGTGCTTGTGTGGGGACAGCTTATCATGGTGGAAGTGACACTTCCACCAAGCTGAGAGCCCCAGAATCAGGTATATGCGTGGGGCCCTGCAGAAGGCTGTTCCAACTGAAGGTGGCTTATAGGTTCAGTTTACCAAATATAAGAGAAAGTCCAGTGCCAGGAGGGACAATAATAATAACCAACCCTCTCTGAGCGCTTTCCTGGGAGAGGGACCAGCTGGGGGGCTTTCTGCACATGAATCCAGTCTGAAAGAGTTCATTCAAGTGCAAAGCTCAGGTGCCATCTGGGAAACACAGACTCCAAAGAAATGGGATCACTGCTCTGAGGCCGAAAAGTAAAGGTCTCACTTTTATGTGGGTAGAAAACAAAGAAATCAGCAGAATTACATTTCCCATACAAAATTGGTTTATGGTTACAGTATTTTGATTAGTTGCAGCTCGTTTGTTTTCTTTGTCCAATTTAAAAGAGTATACTTAACATTCCATCTTAGACAATATGACAGTCGGGAGGTCTCTGTGTAAGAGAAGAAGGGGAAGTTAATCTATAATGAAGATCAGCAGTAAAGAGGGAAGGGGTCTTCTCCGGTGCCTGTTAGTCTTTTACAACATTTTACAGGACAGTGCAGGTAAAGGAAAAAAGGCTAACCTATAATTAGGGAAACAAAGGTTACAGCTGCCTAGGTTACAGCTGTTTGTTAGTGACTCAGGTCCCATCATCACATTCCTTCAAGGCTTAAAATAATTTAAAGTTCCAACAACTTAGTTTTTTTTTTTTTTTTTTTAAGAAATAGGGTCTCACTCTGTTGCCCAGGCTATAGCTCAGTGTTGTCATCATAGCTCACTGTAACCTCAAACTCCTGGAATGCTCCCACCTCAGCCTCCCAAGTAGCTGGGACTTTGGGTGCATGACAACACATTCAGCCAAATTTTTAACTTTTTAATTATTATTATTTTTTTTTAGATACAGGTTCTCATTATGTTTTCCAGGCTGGTCTCAAACTCCTGGCCTCAAGCAATCTTCCCACTCGGGCCTCCCAAAGTGCTGGGATTACAGGTGAATCCCAAGAACTTTGATTTTGACTCACTTGTTTTCACAGTTCACAGTAGCATTACTCACAATGGCTGAAAGGTGAAATCCCAAATGTTCATGGATGAAAAAAATGTGGTATATACATACAATGGATTATTACTCTGCCTTCAAAAGGAAGGAAATTCTGACACACGCTACAGCGTGGATGAACCTTGAAAACATGATGCTAAGTGACATAAGCCAGACACAAAAGGACAAACACTGTATAGTCCCACTGACGTGAGGTTCCTGGACTAGCCACATTCATAGAGACAGTGGGACAGTGGTTGCCGGGGGCTGGGGAGGAAGAGAATGGGGAGTCACTGCTTAATGGACACGGAGTTTCAGTTTGCAAAGATGACAAAGCTCTGGAGATAGACGGAGGTGATCGTTGCGCAGCAACGTGAACGCACTTAATGCCACTGAACTGTGCACTTAAAAAATGATTAAAATGGTAAATTTGTGTTATGTACATTTTAGAGAACAATTTAAAAAAACAGGTCTTTAAAGCTATTAAGAGAAGGAACAGAGTCTGTGAAGCAAAAATAGGCTTTTGTGAAAACACAGGAAGTTTGAAAGAAACAGAGATGCTAAAACGAAACATATAGTGATTAGACTGGAACAACAGAACGCTCCAGCGGCCAGGCTGAGCCGTGGCTGAACAGCAGAACTGGGCAGAAGAGGACACAGCTGGGGAAATAGTCAGGTGCCAGCGCAGACAATAAGGCAGGAGCTGAGCAAGAATTAGGAGACCCACGGAGGAGGAAACAGAAAGCTCTGTCGGAGGAGCAGAGTCTGATGGGAGTCCCGCAAAGAGAGACCAGGGAGGAGGAGGGAGCGGCTGCACTGGAAGAGGCGATGGCTGAGCGTTTCTAGAACTGAAGCAAGAAAGCTCCTGATGCTCCAGCAAAGAAAACAGCAGGTGGTGCAGGGAGGGATCCTGAGACAGTTCCTGGAAGGCAGGTGGGAGACATGGCGTTTTCAATCCTGTCACCCTGGTCTTCTCTCTCCTCTCTCCAATGCGGAGGCCAATCTACGACTTGGGGAAGTTTGAAGTGTGAGGCAGATTTGAAACTTTCCTGGGAAATGATGCAGCCAAGGTAACGAGAGGAAGCTGTATACTAGGACTTTCTACATTGTCTCATTTAATCTTCGCAGCAATCATGAGAGGGTTTATAAGAGCCCTTTCACAGGTGTGAAAATGCGGGCTCTGAAAATGGAAGTAAATTGCTCAAAGTCACACAGGTAGTAAGTGTGGAAGCAGGACTGGCCTCAGGCCTCATGCAAAGCCACTTGATTCACCCATGCTAAAGCCAGGGTGGGTTGGATGGGGGGTGGGCAGATGGAGGAAGGTGGGGGCTGGGGAGGGGGTAGGGAGATCAGAGAAACTCTCTGGCAGCCACACCACCTGTGGCCAGTGTAGGTAAGAGCTGATCACCAAAGAGCAGCATCGGCAGGTGCAGCCCGGGCAAGGGCTCAGACTTCAGGACCACCGGCAGAAAATGCCAGGCTGGCCTCTGTTCCTGCTATCACCACTTTGTCTTCCTCTGCCACCATCCAGGTAGCCCTAACCTCTCCCCAGTCACCCAAGGAGGCAGACACAGGAGTCTGAACAATGGTAACATTTCACGAAGTCTCGTGGATAAGGCTGTGGGCCGGCTGCAACGTGGAGCTTCTTTGCCCTCAGTCTGCATCCAGGTCGTTTGGGTGCTGAATGCTGGTGACCTCACGCTGCCCACAGCCCTGACAGGCAGCACAAACCTCTGAGGTTCATAAAAAATAGGAAAGGGGGTTATGTGACAACGACCTTTGTCTGGCAGACAAAGAGCTTTCCAAATAGGCTGGGGCGTGGTAATTAAAGAAATCTTTGGTGGTAGAAGGCTGGAACTATTTAGAGGATGTGTTTATGAATTCCATTGTCCTATGTAAGCATAAACATCCACCCTCTTGCATACCCCAAATACCTCAGTTCCACATCCTGTCTAGGAATGGTGAACAGACCTGAACCACCCAGCCTGTGTGCAACACACACGGAGACACATGCACAGACACAGACACGCACAGACACGCGTGGCAGCTGCAGACTGGGGGGCAAACCACGGACTAGGGGGCAGATACTAGGGGATGGACCCGGGTAGGCTGAAGGCATCAGCTGGGCTCAGGGCCGAGGTCCTGATGGACTGGTGGGGCTGGCAGGGGAGCCTCTGGCCCCAGAAAACTGACCAACTTCCACTTGGCCAGGTTCTAGGTTTGGCATTTAAAGGTCTGGAAAATAGATCTAGTCGTGTTAACTGAAAAAAGAATATACGACTGCAAATACAATGTGATCCCATTTAAAATAGGTACGTGCTGAGAAAAAAAGGCTAGAAAGATACACACCAAAATGTCAACTGTGCTTATCTCTTGATGTTGGTACAAAGGGCTTTTATTTTCTTTACAGTTTTTTGTATTTTCCAAATTTTCTACATAAACATGTACATAACAGTTATAAAAATGTCCCTCAAAATGATACTCTCCCAAACTAGGGGGAGCGAGGCTGTGTGTGCTGGGGAGGTGGGCAGGGTGGCCTCTGGCAGTTAACCCCCGTGCAGGTGCTAGCTACCGCCACGCTCTTGCATTTGGGGACCCTCTCCATTGGGCAGTGCTCGTACAGCTCTGTCTGGGAACCAAGGCTGTCCAC